ACTGGCTTCCGTTTTTGAACGTTCAAATGAACTTATCAAGTAGCGGTTACCTGACAAAGTGGTCTCGAAAGCCAAGTAAGAAGAACATCCTCGTTCATTTTCTTTCTTCCCACCCTTCACACACAAAGAGGGCGATTGTGAGAAAGATGTTTCGAACAGCCACCTCTGTGTGCACTACCAGAGAACTAAAGGAAGAGTCGCGCGACTTGGCTCGGCAAATAGCCATCTCCAATGGCTACGAAATAGTAACCCCACGAAATAAGTTTAGAAGGAGAGCGTCGAGCCCACGCGAAACACTTGGCCAAAAGAAAATCCCGTTTAAGTTGCCTTTTATAGGCGATGAAGTAAGCGTAACTATAAAACGATGCTTAAGAAGGGCAGGTCTAGAGGAATCGGTAGCTATAGTTGAAATACCACCCGCTACTCTGCGTCGTCAATTAGTTCGTAACCGCCTGTATGACCGTCTGTGTGAAACAACAAATTGCGTAATTTGCCCTTACGGCAGGGACGGTGATTGAATGAGTTCAGGTACGATATACCTGATCTCTTGTAATAATTGCGGAGATGAATATATTGGCGAAACGGGCAGACCTTTGTGTATCCGTATAAGAACACCTAGATGGCAAACAAAACTAAGACGAAGCACCCCACTAGGCACGCAATGTATACAAAAGCATAGCGGAGACGATTTTGAAGTAAAAGTCAACATCCTTGCACAGGAGCCCAAAACACCAGCGCGAAAACTTCTTGAGGCTTTTTGGATAAATGCCAAAAACCCTACAATGAATATCAGGGATGAATGCCCACAGGTCATACGCGACCTTTACCCCTGTGTTTGCAGCAATTTCTGATGTGGGATGGTGCAGTCATCAACCACATGCGACTATAATCAGCTGTTCTAAACTTCCTCATTGGAAGCCACGTAATAAGCGGTGAGTTTTTCGAGAAGCTGTTGATCATGTAATTACCATACAGATTTTCGCCTTTTTGTAAGCGTTATTGAAGCGTTTGGCCTAGTAGATTGTAGATCAGTATGCCCTTCCAGGCTCTGAAGAAGGTGATACTGCCGAAACGTCAGCTACCGTTGTATTGTATTGTGTTTTTCTATGGAAGTAAATGTATTCTGTTTAAAAACCTCGCGATTGCTGAACAGGAAAACGACGCATTCATATTCCAATGCCGAGGTTAATAGAAAGTCTATCCTGAAAGCGGATTAGGGTAAAACTACGCTTCTGAAGGTGCAGAACATAATAGCGGTACACCGTGGTGGTACACCGCTGTCATCTTACGGTAGAAGTGACATATACAAGGAAGCCCGTGGAACCTTTGGCACATAGAAATGAAAGAAACATTCTGGAGGTGCAAAATGTGACTATGATCAGTATCGTACAACCTCGTAGCTAGAGTGGTAAGTAACATTACGGTAAAGTTCTGATGAAAATATAACGCTAAATACAACAGTGTAGAAACGGAAGAAAGAGCAGAGGTGTTAAAACATGCGAAAAAAGAGACAATTGCGAACGAAAGATAACGAATTGTTAACATCAAGGCCCATTTTGTCGATGAACAGAAAAAACGACCACATGAACAAATGGTGCCGAAAGCCGACTAAGAAGAACGTTCTAATTCATTACCTCTCTTCTCACCCATCACAAGGAGAAAGTATACTTGCGAGAAGCATGTTTCGAACACCCATCAGAGTGCGCACAGGAAGAGAGCAGAAGAAACAATCCGTGAATTTGGCGCGGCATGCAGCTATCCCTAGTGGCAACGAAATGGAGGCTTCTCTAGGCCTGCTAGAAGAAAAAACCATGTCCCTGGACGATTTCTATAGCGTGAATAAGGTCCTGGTTATCCTACTGTTCACGTGTTCCCAAATGGAATTTTCAGCCAGAATACGGTCGCTTCTATCATACACTTGATTTCCGCAGAAAATAACATTAAACACTTCTGGCTTATCTGTGAACGAGAGCGAAATCTTTTAGCTACACCACACACATGTTATATGAGTTACATAACTTAGTGCTGTGTTAAGAATAAAAGCTTGTTGCGAAACTCGGAGACGATGCTAAAAATGTTATTTCTGCTTCTCGATCCGTTGGAACAAAGAGTGCCAAATGCCAAAATAAGCATTCCTGATGGCCCCTTCGGCTTCTGGTGGTTGCGTTTCTAAGGAAAATTAAGAACTAGTAAAACTTTTAGGTACGTAGATAAGAAATTTTGCTTAGCACCTACCTGCGAGCAACTTTGATTGGATGATCGCGAGATAAATCCTTACAAAACAACCCCATGTGCTGCATCAATGCACTTTCGGCGAAATGAGAAGCGTTTGTGTGAAACTCTCCTAAACTTCGCCCCACCTCGATGGCGCTGAGGGTGAATTTTTAGATCGGATCAAAATTGATTACGATGCCTTGCGACAAAATTACGAAGTGGAGATCCTGGATTGGTAGGCTGCATTTTGAAAACATTGTTAACATCAAGGCCTATCCGAGCTATCAAGGAAGCATACCACATTATTTAGTAAAATTGTTTAATCAGGTTTGTTCTTACGAGCAGCCAGGCAACCGATGACTAACAAATCTGTGAGAAATCCTCTCGGCAAGTGTCCACATTGTGTCCATTCGTGTGGTTATGTGAACCGCGCGATGAAGGCTCCCGCGCAAAAGTTGAATCTGGCGTCTTAATCTGTCAAGCCCCGTTTCTGGTCATGCCGAGAAAATTCTCGAAGCGTCACCAGTCAAGCAAGTCGGCAAGCGAACGCTGAGTGCTATCCTTCTTGTTTTCAGTATGCTATATCCTCGTGATTTTGCCTACTTGTTTTGTTTCGCTCGATTCCCTCTTGTTTCGTCGTTGACGTATTGGGACAGCATTATAGTATTTATGCCAACATTTTAACAGAATCCATGTTTCGATTTTCGAAGTGAAGTTGTATGCAGCTATGAATAACCTGAGTCGGTCGTGTTATCCGTATATAGAAATCCATTCAACAAGTTTTACTCGTGATTATTTCCCCTCAAAAATAATGAGAAGTGAACAAGGGACGCAAGCATGTCTAGCTGATACCAGGTATGTTTATTGTTGGCATTTGGCATCGTTTGCTTCGAGCACTTTTGATTCCGGAAGTAATATTTCCTGCAAAGATATGGATCGTGTCCGAGTTCCCCAACAACCTCTATTTCATACGTCCATCTGAACACTGTCAAAACTGTTAAGCTTGCACTGTAAAAGTTGAAACTGTACAAAAGAGCACTGCCGGGGAGCATGCCATTCGTGCCTGTTCCACTGACGAGAAGATCCGTCTCGGCGCGATTACGAAGATGCCATATCGGGAAGAAGAACAACTGTGGACCACCGACTCGGATCAGCGGCTCTGATGAAGACGAAGACGTCGAACCATTAGCCAAATAAAAGTTATTCATCAAATTCGTGTGACATCAACAATTCATACACACATTCAAGCTTGTTGGGAAAAGCCATTGGTAACTAAGTAGTTAGCGAAATGGAACCAGCCTTTTTACTGATGAACACCGCGCGGCGCCAATGAGCGGTTTGCTTTCATAGGCTTTGTTGGAAAAACACCGTAGCACCCTAGCTTCATGGAATCCTATAAATCCTAGATGCGATAGGGATATTCGATATGTTATCGAGAAATCCTTTATGAATGAGCTTTCTCGTCGACGTCGACCACCATCGGTATTATTTCGCTTTTAATTACCCGTCAGCGGTCTTTTTTCTTCCACGTCGTCGTTTTAGAATTAAGCCGGGCGATTATAATTTTTCAGTCGTTTTGATTATTGACATGGTTCTACGCATTATTATGATTTGCAAACTCTATAGCTGCGATTTGCTTAACCGGTTATTCGTGAAGAGCTTCGATCACTTAGACGTCAGTTACACGAGCTCCAGAATGAAATGCGCGCCACTGGTCCCGAAGGCGATCCCGCAAAAATGGTGGAAAGGAGAAGTTAGCTCAATTCTTAATAGACACAATCTCGTACTAAAATAATTCTACTGTATCTTAAAAAATTTTTTCAGACTAGTTATTTATAATGTATGGCCTTATTATGGCTTTCTTTACACAGGTCAACTGTTTTCTGAAGAAAGCGGTCCTAACATAGATGACTTACATATCGATGACCGCTTGTTTGTTGAGGAAATGCACGGACTTCGAATGCAGATGGTGATCATTTAACACTAATCGAATAGGATTTCCCAAATGTCATAGTAAGGCGCCTTCTCCCTCACTTTAGGTTATCGTACTTCTTTCGGTCTCTATCATTTCCCTATATATGTTTCGTTGCTCATTTATATCCTAAACTGAGTCGTATGTCGCTCTTGTGTAACCTGACATTATCCAGCTTTCAATTTTCAAACGAGCAGAACTTTTCCCATAGTGAACATCAAAAGTTGAAGTAGAATCCTCTAGAATCCAAACTTCCTTTTTAGATTTCGTCTAAAGCGATAAAGTGGGATCCCTGAATGCCAAATTAGCAGCTCTGCAACAATACATAACTTTACTGTTGTTTTATCCTAAATCTCCATCAATATGGGATTATCACTTTCCATTTGCTTAAATTGTAGACGAGTTTTGTTTATATTAGACCCAAGAGTTGGATGTATCACCAGAGTATGAAAAGATGTGTACAAGAGCATATCACACAAAGCACAAAAAATAGTAGGTGAAATGAGCGAGAAATGAGTAGAAATAGTTATACAGGAGGAAACATGAAAGATCCAACTACTTCTTGGGTGCAAAGCGTCCCGCCACTTTGGTTCCTGTGTACAACGAACTCGACGAAAAATTCGGCGTAGTCCTTCCAGTGATCACCACATAAAATCAAGCTGTATAATGTCAGTTATGACAAGTTTATTATGACAGCTCATCGCAGAAATGCTGTCTATGTACGATTGCACGCAACTCATGTGCGATTTTTGCTAGATTTCAACTGCTATTCGGCTGCACTCATCTGTTGATTTCGCGTTTTAGGGTTCAGTACATGACAGAAGGTCCGCCTTGTAAAGAATATCGATTAGTTGCCATGGAGCATGGTGCGACTTTCAGGACAACGGAAGCGTGGTACTGGGTATGTACAAGGAAGAACAAGCTTTTCGTGTTCTATGGGAAAAACTAGTAATTGTTTCAATACTTGCTTTTTTTGGTTCGGACGTGCAGAAATGGCTTTCCTTGGGCGATGTCGAATCTAATAACTATTGCTGTGTTTCGCTTTTTATTTTCTGCTTGCTACAGTTTTCACGGCAGGGTACTAAGCGAAGTACAACCACAGTGTTGCTGAGATATTTGCAAAACTATGGACCGTAGGTGTCTGCAGTGGGGAACGAACGCGGTATTGTCCTTTCCGGGGAGTAACGCGTTCACCGCCACACCATGCGGGTCCATCCTTTCGCCTGTCTCTCAGCAAGTTCTATCGATTTTTTCCCATCAGAAATCACCCGTCAGCGGGATTGATCTGGGGAACCCAAATAGGCAACGAACCCAGTTAAGCTGAAGCCTTTTTTTATTTCGCAATATATACCCTGCCGTTAAAAAGACTGGACAGTAATGTATATATATATATATATATATATATACATATATATATTATACGTAATACGCATATACGTGTGTGCGCATAGACCTACATATGTATGTATATACATCAAATTTCACTTTGATTAATGTAACATTTTGTGGAAGCCTTACTATGTCTTAAGTTTTCTTCAGTAAAAACTTACACACGGACGCATCCGTTTTCACACCGCGATAACTGTTCGATGTCAACTGTTAGTTACATAGTGAACATTTACCAATTTACTACATCCTATATTTATATTTTTGTAGTTACCTTTACGCAGATGGCAAAGCTTCTCCATCGCACGTGTTATGTTTCCAACTTTTCCCCACGTGTGACATCTGATATATTAGAAGAGCTGTTTACGCAGGTCTGTTTTCTAACATTTGTACCCATATTTTACAGGTAACTGCTTATAATGGAAGAATACTCGTTAAAATGAAGTACACAGAACTCGAAGTATTCTAATCCATACGGACACCCACTGTTGTTATGCACCTTAGCATGACACTTATAGCAAATTTTTGTTTACTACACCTTTGTTGTGTCTTGATCGTCTTATGGTGCCGAGTGGCTCTTGATGTTTCTAAACTTCCGACAAGATGGTTTAGCTCTTTCTGCATAGCAATCAATGTTTCTTTTTATGAAGCTTTAAAGCCAGCAGTATATTGCGTATGGTGAAATGTTTATCAAGTCCATGAAACACTTCTTTCACTGTGGAATTGGGCCCCTAGGATTTTCAATAGATTCGGCTTAGGTTGGACCAGTTGAACACGTGAGATTAGTCGAGAAGAACTCCCATCGCTTCGCTTTTGTATTATTCGAAGATGAAGAAAGTGTACCGTTCGCTATACAGATACTGCATCGCATCGCAAGTTTCGTTAAAATATAGTACGCCTAAGTATGTAAGAAACAAGTGGGCTATTTCAAGATGTGAATTTGGCTGCATTTTCCGTTTCGTAGTGAAGTTATGTTAGGGGTAGAATTTTTAAACGATGAGTAACGATTATGAAATTTTATACAGAAGTAAGTGCAAGAGATCCTTTCTCAAGGATACCCTCGGCAAAACAGTCAATAAGCTGTAAAAAACATAAACGGCTAGACATGAAACTGTAGTGTTTTTTTAATCTCTTCTTGATGGGTTTCTCCAGCAAGAATCTTTCCCTCTCTCCCCCTTTTCCTCTCTCTCCCTCTCTCGCTCTCTGCCTTAATTTCTACTGTTCCTCTGAGCAGGTGTTGGGTTTGATACTTATAAAACACAGCTTAGGTGGTGTAGAACATAACACATTCTTTGTTCGCATCGCTTTCTTTATTTAATTCTATTTGTGCCTTTGTGGGGATCGTTTCAGTGATGACTTCATTACTGAGGGCTAATTTTGTGTCTATATGCCTTTTCAGTTCGGCTACATTCGTTTTTTATAGTTTCCGTAATAACTATGTTTTCTTTACCTTTTTATTTACTGCCCATTCTTTTTAACGGTAGGGTATGTTGCGAAATATAACTTCTATAATGCTGAGATATTTGCAAAACTCCGGGCCTCAGATGTTTGCGGTGGGGAACAAACGCGCTATTGTCCTTTCCGGGAAGTAACGCATTCACCACCACACCATGCGGGTCCTTCGTTTCGCCTGTCTCAGCTAGTTCTATCGGTCTTTTGCCAAAATATCTCAGTATTATAGAAGTTATATTTCGCAACATATCCTGCCGTTAAAAAGAATAGGCAGTAAATAAAAAGGTTAAGATTGTGATTACAACTAAAGCCTCAGCTTAACTGGACTCAGCGCCGATTTGGGCTCTCCAGATCAATCCCGTTGACGGGGATTGCTGGTGGCAAAAGATAAATAGAACTAGCTGAGAGACAGGCGAAACGAAGGACCCGCATAGTGTGGTGGTGAAGGCGTTACTCCCCGAAAAGGAAAATAGCGCGTTCGTTCCCCACCGCAGACAGCTACGGTTCGGAGTTTTGCAAATATCTCAGTATTATAGAATGTTTTTTTATTTTATACACTGAACACACTGATGTTAGCAGTTTCTTAATGCCAAATCCTGGATTGAGTAGAACTTGCATTAGGTTCTGAGAAAAGATTTTACGTTAGGATATGAAGTGCTTTACGAAGTTCGTTTTATTTTCTCTGGATGTTTTTTATTTGAAGGATATGAAGTCGATCTTGAAGAGCTTTAAACGAGAACAACCAGGCAACAGTTTTCATGGTTGCGCTCATGAGAGAGAAAACAAGAGGTGAAATAGTTATCGATACCAAGTTTTAGTTCCTTCTGTGCTAACAGATTTTATTCTTATTCTTTCGATCTTATTCTGTTTTAGGAGCCGTTTTTTCAGGGAACTTGGTGACGAGCATTGCGAGAATAGACCGGCTCCAACGGAACGCAGCGACGAGTCTTGCAATTGCGTACTAGAACATCTCTGACTTCTTAATCAGCGCAGTCGGGTATACATACGCCACCAGCTCGTTTGTCAAGATGGAATTGCCCTATGGAGTAGAATATGCAGTGTTGCTGAAATTATTTGTGTTCAAACGCAAGTTGCATTAAGGATTTTTTAAGAAAACCGGATGCAATATGGATATTGTTCGGCACCAGTCAGATTTTAGTGAACCATACTGTTTATATCTGTGTCGAGTATTTAACCCTTCATATCCGTTCACTTTTCACAACGCCTAACATCAACGCCCCATTAGGTTTCAAATAGTAGTAATGAGCCAAAAATCCTATGAAGTGTACTTCAACTTTGCATATTTCGTGCTTCATTCTGCTTAATTATCAGTACTTTAGGGCGCTTGTGGCGCAGTGGTTGGAGGCGCCACTGCGACATACACGTGGAATTGATCCACGTACCCATAGTCCACCAAGCCTTCCAACACTTCGTGGTAGGCGAATTGGTACCAAATTGGTCTGGGAGGATAGCAGCACTGGCTCGATACACCAGTTAGCCACCGCCAGTCATTGTAAAAGTCAGATATGCGTTCAATCACCTCCAACGTTATTTAATGAAGTCGAATGCATAGCGCATCCCTCAGGGATTGACCAACGCCAATAGCTTTATTTATCAGTACTGCACAAACCTAATAATAGTGATAAAGATCACGATTCACTTTTCCTATCCAGCAACGATGATGAGTAGTTGAATGATTTATGGACTCGACATGACTCGTCCTTCTGATGGCCTGGAATTAATCAACTTCGCTTTCAACTGAAACCAGCATATCTCAGTTTGTAGGAATCTCTATTCATTACAATAGCAGCATTAGAATATGCTTGTTATAGATAAGATGTGTGCGTCGTTGTTCTGGCTTAATGAAATAATTCCGACTTTCCATATCCAGCGAAACGTGGTTTTGACGTCGCTTAGCAGCTTTCCAAATTTTGTTACAGACGTCTGGTCTTCCGGCCTAGCTTTGTAACAAAGTCGATCTTGAAGTCCTCGTAGAATAAAGGCGATCGTAGGCAGGGTTACCTCGAAATAAGTGGGTTTGGTTACTATGATACCTGGACCCAATATTAGTAGCAAGTGTGGTTATGGAATTTTTTCCTGTTGTTATGAAAGTGGTTGGTTGGGAAGATTGCCCATCGATGTGATCTTTCAAGACTCTAATGATAGCGAAACAGCCGAAACGTTAGCTACTGTTGAATAAAGTTTTTACCAATAACCTCGTATGTGCTCGAGAATGACACTTGTGAGAATACTGAAGAGTTGGTTTTCATGTAAGACGGTGCTACTCCAAATTATGATATTGTTGCTCGTAAATTGCAGAATACCCATTAGTCTTAAAGACGAAGAGTCGTCGTGAGCTGCACGAATGGCAGCTAGATAACCTGACTTGAGACCCTGCCACTTCTTACTTTTTTGATTGGTTAAGGAAGCAAGTCTACTTTAGGAAGCCAACAACACTAGGTGATATATTTATTTATATGATCTTATAAGCCGATTCTGTCTAGCAAATGCAAGTCAGTCCCACTCACAATATCACGGCTCTGAGGAAGGCGAAATCGCCGAAACAGCCATCAACAAACAACACCAACAGCAAAAACAACAGCGACAACGACAAGAAGACCTATACCAACCTCGCATTTGCTAAATGAGATCAGTTTATAAGGTCATATAAATAAATATACCAGCTATCTATGCCGAGGTTTATAGAAAGTCGGTCTTCTGAACATTAGATGATGTTGAAGAGTGATAACGAGGTATTATGCCTTCCATACTACAAGAGATCCTGGTGAAATTAGTTGATGCACCTCCTGAGTTGCTTGAGAAGCTGATGGCCATTACTGGACCTATATTTTAAATAAAACGCAATACTATACGCTTTTTTCTTTTATTCACTTCTTGCACAAATTATGATTAAAAAATGATTTGCAATAATTTTAAAATAGGTAGCTGTTTCTCAGTCACCTTGCAAATAAATTATTATGACAGCCAATACAACGTTGTCTTCTTCTTGTTTGACGACAGCTGTCTTCCAGCACGTGGCTAATTTGGCATGTAGATGTTTGCACTTTGACCATTTCAATCAGACTCGAAGATATTTTGATTTTTAAGCAATGAGGCTGCTATTCCTACACATTAACACTGTACAACCGCCACGCGTTCGTCATACATGTCAGAGCGACCTGGTAAAAAAAGAGATGGATCTAACTGAGCCACGGAGAAGAAAATTCAAAAACCGAAACCATAAGGAAACAACGTGTAATTGTACAAAGCTGTAACTGTAACAACAACCACACTATTTGACGTGTAATTTTTTGGCGCACTTGTTGTGAGTGGATTTTCACTCACGCGTATAGAAAAACGAGTGGCTCCACATCCTTGTCTTTCTTTCTTCTCCATAGTTCGGTTTTTTCACTCTGTTTCGCGAGGCCTTACGGTGCTTTCTGTTTTTTACGCATTCTTTAGGTTATTCTATGCATTTTCGCATACATTTGTTTCTTGTGGGACTCCTTTGTGTGACGAAGAAATCTCGCTCACTAAAGAACGAAGTTGCCGTCATCATTTAGTTGTCGATTGCGTATCACATATGAACTGCATATCCGTAGTCCCAAGGATACAAAATAGTGACTGTAAATGAAATAATTCAATTTCTCAAAAGACCGATTTTTTATGAACCTCGGCAAAGACCGTTGGCATATTTATTTATATGATCTTATAAACTGGTCTTCTCACGCGTATAGAAAAACGAGTGGCTCCACATCCTTGTCTTTCTTTCTTCTCCATAGTTCGGTTTTTTCACTCTGTTTCGCGAGGCCTTACGGTGCTTTCTGTTTTTTACGCATTCTTTAGGTTATTCTATGCATTTTCGCATACATTTGTTTCTTGTGGGACTCCTTTGTGTGACGAAGAAATCTCGCTCACTAAAGAACGAAGTTGCCGTCATCATTTAGTTGTCGATTGCGTATCACATATGAACTGCATATCCGTAGTCCCAAGGATACAAAATAGTGACTGTAAATGAAATAATTCAATTTCTCAAAAGACCGATTTTTTATGAACCTCGGCAAAGACCGTTGGCATATTTATTTATATGATCTTATAAACTGGTCTTTTTAACCTGGTGCGAGGTTGGTATAGGTCCAACTGCAACGACAACAACAACGACAACGGCAACGAAGACCCACACCAGCCTCACATCAGCTTAAGAAGGCCAGTTTATAAAATCAAATGAATAAAAAATTCAATCGCTGATAGTTCCCAAGATCGACTTTCTCTTAACCTCGGCATTGGAATATGAATGTGTCGTTTTCTTGCTCAGCAATCGCGAGGTTTTTAAACAGCATACATTTACTTCCATAAAGAAAACACAATACAATACAACGCTAGCTGACGTTTCGGCAGTATCGCCTTCTTCAGAGCCTGGAAGGGTATACTGATATACAATCTACTAGGCCAAACGCTTCAATAACACTTACAAAAAGACGAAGAACTCTCCGGCAATTACACAATCAACAACTTCTCGAAAAACCCACCGCTTTTTCGTGACTTCCAATGAGGAAGTTTAGAACAGCTGATTATAGTCGCATGTGGTTGACGACTGCACCATCCCACATCAAAAATCGATGCGAACGTACGAGATCAGGTCGCGTAT